CCCGAGCCCGGGCCGGGCCCTTTATAGCCCCGGCCCCCGTGTCGTCAGCGGCCGCGATTGGCTGCGGAGCCAACAAAAGAGGTAGCGCTGTCATCCGAGGCGAGAGAGGGAGCCGGAGAGAGCCGAGGAAAAGAGAGAGAGAGAGAGAGGGAGAGGGAGAGGGAGGGAGCGAGGGCGCACGGGCCCAGAGAAAGACGGAGAGACCGAGCGAGGGACGAGGGGGAGGGGGAGTCGGGAGGGACCGAGGCGGAGAGACCGGGGACAGAAGGAGCGACGGGCAGGGGTTGGGGGTGGGGGAAGAGGCAGATCCAGAGAGAGAGAGACCCAGATAGGAAGGGGAGAGGAGAGACAAAAGAGGAGAGAAGTCACGGAGGGGAGAGCCAGAGCAAAGACGGCAAACTAGCGGGACAGCTGGAGTAGACAGACAAAGGTAGACGGCAGCGAGCGAGGGGCGGCTCACCGGATTCCGGAGTCGAGCGGAACCGGAGAGAGCGGGCGAGGCGGGCCGGGGAGCTGGCAGGGGCTCGGACACAGGCGGAGAGCTCCAGGAGCCCCCCGCGAGGCAGGTGCAGAGGAAAAGAGCAGAAGGCGGGAGTCTTCCCAAGGAAGGAGGGACCGAGAGACACCCAGGGGAGGAGGAGACGGGGAGGTGAAGAAACAGCCTCAGCTACTTGAGGCATGCCCAGGATGTTTAACGAAGCCGGAAAGTGCAACACACACCAGGCTGGCTTTTCCTAGGTCTCAAGGAAGTTAGGAGAGGAGGAGGAGGAGGAGGCCGGGAGCACGCTGAGAAGTTGGGGAGGTGATGGCAAGTACTGAGACCGGAAGAAAACCAGCTAGGGGGCCCGTGAGCTTGAAATTGAGGTTTAATGGAACAAAGGGAGCGATCGGGCTGGGAAGGGTGGGAGCCGCGGGGGAAAGAGCCAGATGGGACGGGGCTTCCAAGTGGTGGTGCTTGGAGTTCGGACCCCTGCGTTCCCAGCCGCGCCTTTGTTTGCAGGGTCTTACACGTCTGAATAAGAGCTTGAAGTTTAAGGCATAAGGGTGCGAGAGAGGACTATATTTAGATGTCTGACGTGGAGGCAGCGAGCTACGGGGGAGCAGCTCAGGTGTGGGGCCAGCCTCGGTCTTCAGGTGGGACCCCAAGGACAGAAGAAGGGACGCCAAGTGATAAAATGGCTTCAGGGTGGTCTCTTACACTGGATACCTTTTCCCGGACCTCAGTTTCTCTTTCTGTCCCTCTCCACCTCCCCCAAACCCTTTTCCCCTATCCTCCTTTTCTTCTTCAAGACAGAGTCTCGAATGCATCCCAAGCTGGCCTCACACTCAAGTTATCTTCCTGCCTCAGCCTTCAGAGAGCTCTTGGACCCGTGTCTCTGGAGATCCCTTAGCAAACTGAAAATGTTTGCCATCTCACGAAATGTTCACTGATCAAAATGTATAAACCTCAGTAGGAAGGCATGTCTCGAAAAAAAATTAGACAAATATAAAGTGTATAGACTTTCCTCTCTAGAATTAAAACCTGTAAAATATTGTGAACTTGGGCATGGTGGCTCATACCTTTACCTTAGTACTTGGGAGGCGGAGGCAGACAGATATCTGCGAGTCTGAGGTCAGCCTGGTCTACCTAGAGAGTTCTAGGATTGCCAAGGTGACACAGTGAGACCCTGTCTGAAAACAAAAACAGAAACAAACCAACAACACCCTGCCAACACCTTGAGAGCAGAACCGGTGTCTCCTTTTTCTGTTTCTTTAGAGAACACAGCTTTCACACTCTTATCCAGTGCAAAGACAAGTGAGATGCTAAGACCCAGCCAGCCCTTTCCTCCAAGCAGCAGACATGAGGTGCAGAGAACCCGAGGCACCTCAACCATCACAGATCAAGAGGAGAAGTCCTCTCCCCTCAGATGTGCCCTGTCCTGCAGGCTTCGCTTAACCAATGTCAGTCACCCAGGCTACATACCCGGGTGTAGCTGTCCAATTTATCATCCGAGGAGGAACTGTCTGTCTCCTTAGAACAACTCAGCTGGAGCTCGGGAGCTCAGTGTGGTGTGTGCACACTGAGCCTGTCAAGGCCTGATCCCTAGCACACAACTTCCGCTCTCCAAATCTCTTGGCCAAAGTTAACTCTTTTATTAGGTCTCAGTATAGATGCGATCTTGAGATAAAATCGTTCAGGAGTCCTTTCCTTACTCTATCTTCTCTGCTAGAACTAGGCTGCCCGTATCTAAGCAACCTCCCTTTCTGGGTATGTGAACTTGAATAAGCGTGTGTGCGCGTGTGAGCACGCGTGCATGCCTGCGTACGTGCACACGCGCCCTCAAGTGTGAGCTCAAGTGTACACGAGAGTGAAGGCAGCACAGTATATTTCTGGGGTAAGCTCTCTCTCTCCACATGTGGGTCCCTGGGATCTAAGTCAGGTCTTCAGGCTTGGTGGCAAGTGCCTCTCCCCGCTGAGCCGACTTGCCAGCCCAAGTTACTGAACCCCTTTACACCTTAGGGTTCTTCTTTGTCAGGGGGAGTACAGTACTTCAGCTATTTTCCTGAAACGTTGTGAGGATGAAAGGTCTGACGCACAATTCTAACAGTGTTATCATCACCTCTGGACTCTGTAACCCTCACACCGGCAGACCAGGACCTTTTCACTAACATACTCCTTAGCTGCTCTGACCAAAAGGTGCATGAACCTTACTAAGGGACCCTGGTGAGAGCTGGGTGTGGGCTGAAGAAAACCGTATATTTGTGTCCACAGCGGGTTGTTGTGGGCCCAGTAACCAAGGAGGCAGGAACAATCTGCCAGGCAGATTATCGCGCCTCGCTGGGACTCCAGGTAATCCATTAAGTGGACAACCCTGCCCTCTGGTGGACTCATAAGAAATGTCAGTCCGGTGGTATTGCTCTTTTGCCCTTTAGACTTCGAGTCCGGAAGTGCCTTTCCTCAACCTGGAACCCAGGAGAACCCAGGAGTGGGAGGCAAACGCTAGACCGGTGAACGACACCGTCAACCCAAGTTCTGAAACAGTAAGCCTTGTCCCTTCTCCAGTCCCTCCCGGAGTCACCTCTTTCCTTGACTTCTCAGGCCTGGTCCCTTAGGATTCTTTTCAGGTGCAGAAAGGATCGCTTGGGTTTCCTTTCAGAGCGTCAGCACTCGGGGCGCCCCAGACCCGGTTATGAGGAGGCGGCGCTGGTTGCTCCATAGGAAAGGAGTTGGAACGGAGAGGAACAGTAAGACTTTTGCTTGCTGGGGCAAAAGCGCATGCCTGTAACCTGGACAGTCGTGAGGCTGAGGCAGGATGATTGCTAAGCCAAGGTCAGCCCAGGCTACCCAGAAAGAGACCTTGTCACCAACCAGCCAACCAACCAACCAGCCAAACAACCAACCAACTAACCCAACCAACCAACCAACCAAACCAACCAACCCAACCAACCAACCAACCCAACCAACCAGCCAACCCAACCATCCAACCAACCTACCAACCCAACCAACCAACCCAACCAACCAACCTACTAACCCAACCAACCAACCAACCCAACCAACCAACCCAGCCAGGCAGCCAACCAACCAACCAACCTAACAACCAACCAACCAACCCAGCCAGGCAGCCAACCAACCAACCCAACCAACCAACCAACCAACCTAACAACCAACCCGACAACCCCCCCACCCTTTGCTGATCCCAGTATGTGCCAGCCTTGGCTTGGGTCCCAGCCCCACTGTCCTGGTCTCCCTGGTAACTGCCTTCCTCCTAGGGGTGCCCCTGGCTCCTAGCGTTACCCAGGCAACCTTCAGGCCCGCCCCCTTCAAGGTCCTGACTGGTTCGTAGCGAATGTGGGCAGGGGCTTGAGGCTGGTGTTTAAGTTTGAAGGTCGCGAGCTGCCCTGCCGGTGAGAAGGAGGCACGTACCAAGGGGCGGGACCTGGCGGAGGGACGGAAGTGCGTCTGAGGGTGTGCGGTCTGTTAACAACCTTAGAAACGAGAACTTCTGCCCCTGGGGTTCCGTGGCCAGTGTTCGAGGCCAAGGCTGTGCTCAGAGGGGCTGCTGCGGGGATTGAGGACTATTCTGCTTCCCAGCCCTGTGTTCGAGGCCAAGGCTGTGCTCA